CCTACTGTTTGTGACAGTGAACACTGAAGATTCACTCTTTGCAACAGCTGACCGCACAAAGGGAACCAGGTTTCTCCCATACTACTCCCACTTCGTATGGAGCTTCTGTGGCTGAACAGGGGAACCGCTTGACAACAGCAACCCGGATCAAAGTGCATAGGGACAGAGACTCACAGGCTGTACTCCTCTACTACCACCTACTAGGAGACTTCCTGGCTGAGACCTCCACAACCGCAAGTATCCGTGGGATAGCTAGTATACTGTTACTTATTGGTACACAAGGACTATTCCTACAGTAAATGTGGGACTATCCCTGTTTACCCTTATTATTTGTGATAAACGTTTCCCACACCTGGGACATCCCTATATTTAATTAACTTAACTGGAACTTCTATTGCATCAAAGTCTGTGTGTGTATGCTTGAGGACTTAGGAAGTTGCTTATGACAAACTAATTGAGGTATCGTACTTACCCAAGTACCTTGCTGTTCCATAAACCTACTACTGAGGGCCTTTTCCTAAAGTTGAGTTATATGTTTGCAGGCTGTTAGTAATCCTGCATATCACCTGTTTTTCACCACGGTTAAATGATGTTACCGGTCTCATTCACATCTCTAAGTTACTGAGAGAGAGTATATACGAGACCGCCCACTGAGTAAGCCGTGATCCTAGGCGTGTGTGTGTGACAACTCTGCAACGCACGCCTAGGATCACAAGCGTACCTCACGGTTTACTCAGTGGGCGGTCTCGTATATACTCTCTCTCAGTAACTTAGAGATGTGAATGAGACCGGTAACATCATTTAACCGTGGTGAAAAACAGGTGATATGCAGGATTACTAACAGCCTGCAAACATATAACTCAACTTTAGGAAAAGGCCCTCAGTAGTAGGTTTATGGAACAGCCAGATACTTGGGTAAGTACGATACCGCAATTGGTTTGTCATAAGCAACTTCCTAAGTCCTCAAGCATACACACACAGACTTTGATGCAATAGAAGTTCCAGTTAAGTTAATTAAATATAGGGATGTCCCAGGTGTGGGAAACATTTATCACAAATAATAAGGGTAACAGGGATAGCCCCACATTTACTGTAGGAATAGTCCTTGTGTACCAATAAGTAACAGTATACTAGCTATCCCACGGATACTTGCGGTTGTGGAGGTCTCAGCCAGGAAGTCTCCTAGTAGGTGGTAGTAGAGGAGTACAGCCTGTGAGTCTCTGTCCCTATGCACTTTGATCCGGGTTGCTGTTGTCAAGCGGTTCCCCTGTTCAGCCACAGAAGCTCCATACGAAGTGGGAGTAGTATGGGAGAAACCTGGTTCCCTTTGTGCGGTCAGCTGTTGCAAAGAGTGAATCTTCAGCGTTCACTGTCACAAACAGTAGGGCGCCGAAGATTCGTTTGGCCGCGGCTTAAGAAACCTCTTGCACATGCGT